ATCAGCTTCACCTAACATTGACATCGAATCCGAGGAACTTAGATTTTCTTGGCGAATAGTTGTAAATTTAAGCCAGCTATGCGAGAGAGGAGTAGCTGCTATGCGGCATCATCTCCCGTACTTCAGAGGAGATATAACAGCAGAAACTCGAAGTCTTTGTTACGAGAAACTTATTTAACACAATCTAGGCTACTCGTAGAAATCTACGTGCACACTCCGGAGTATTTGTGACACGAACCTACGAGTAGTAATTCCGTATTTTTAATTATAATAAATTATTTAATCGTTATACAAATTCTGATTTTTTTATGAATAAATTTCTATTTTCAGAATATTTAGCTAACAAATCACAATTATTCAATCATCCAGTGGCTCGGTGTACCGTGTTCTACCCAATTCTAATTTTCCTTTGAATGGGTTGCTTTTCCAGGTCAACGAATCCGTAGAAATATTGACAAAGCGTCGTTAAATATTACGCCATGTAAGTCTAACTTTTTACTACGATAATTACAATATTACTAGTAAAAACGGGGAATATTATCTTATTTACCACTACATATATATGTTTTTTTTATTTATTTAAATGAGTAACATAACATAAACATTTCCATCCTATTGAGCAAGCTGGGTTTAAAATGGCTTAAGTAACTATACATCATATACACTTAATTGTATAAAATATGTAAAAATAATTAAAAATATTCAGGAATACAACGATCCTAAAAGCTTAGTGTAGGCGATATACCTTCAACGCCATTTGCCTGGAGACCTGGGTTGTTTTTAAATCTATTAGTTATTAACTGTTAGTATATTCTGCTGAAATGATTGTATAATGCCGCAACTATGACCTTACCTTTAACTACTAACAAAAAGTACTTACCGCTTAATTTTTTAATTAAATATTTAACAAAATTCTTGCCCAAAAACGTAAGTACCTATATAACTTGACCTTTTCTTAATTTTGTCAACTTTGCGTCTACATTGTTTTTGAAGTACCTACTTTGAAATATTTGTATCCTTCCATTCTAAGATTATTAGCCTTATAGGTGGTCTATTTTATAACACCAGCTATCTCTCATCGTATCTGCCGCTTTACCATATTGAGTCCTAATATAGTATCCATTAAGCATTGTCCCTGCTTTGTTTGGCGGTTCATTGTCAGAGAACCTTTGGATTAACTAAATAAAACTGAACTATACTAATCTTTTATTTCAAACTATTATTTGTACAATAAAGATTCCACTCCATACAACCACATTTGAATAATGTAAACTATACTGAGAGGCATTAATAAGATCTTTATGTGTGGTTTTTATTACATCTAGAAAACAGAAGCTTCTTGAGTTTTAAAAACATATATTATTTCTAAGAATATGGTCAATAGTCTTGTACAGCTTTGACTCCGTTATACTTTCCCCCTTAATGATTCAAAGGTCTTTTAGGTTGATTAAGTTCATTCAAAGGTTTTCTTAAGGTATATTATCTAATTAAATAAATTACTGGATAAATACCGCACAGTATAATTGGACGTGAAGCAAATATTGAAAATTAAATTTTATTAATCTGGTGAAATACAAATATGTCTTGTGCCGAAATTATATACTTGAAATGAGTATATACACGTACATAGTATTGGCTGCCACGATGGTATAGTGGCTAGCATGTCCCAGTTTCGAGTCCCGGGTCGGGCCAAATTATAGTTATTGAGTCTTTCTGTTAAGAAAATCTCTGTACCAGCCCGGAGAACACGTAAAAACGTCGGTCTCCTACCGAATGTGAAGTGGCTAGTCACAGGGAGATTAACCACAGAGGCTGAATTCGATAAGGTGGACGTCATAGGTATTTATATTATATATATTTTTATTCTATGTATCATTTGTGGTATGAAGAAAATATACAATGAGCAACTTTGAGCAACTCCTATACATTTTTATATGAATTTCATTTCTACTTGACTTTCACGTCGTAAACTGAGGATGCATAAAAACCATAAAACTAAGGATTAAATTGCACTTTCAGAATTTTAATAGAAATCTATCAATCAAAAGCTAAATATCTTTGTTTATCAATTGTTTAAAATTCAATGGCCTTCTTATTCAAGTAAAGGTGATAGTGTATTATCTTTATTATCTTTTATATATACATATGTATATATTATAAAATTATATACGCATGTATTTTGCTCTTATACGATCACTGCTACAAGCTACAGTATATACGGTTATATGATCCTAGCGTGAAATCTGTTATCAAGTTTATTAACATCTATAAAAGACGAAATACGTAAATACATGGACTGTCTGCTACTATAAATGTTGCAGTAACGTGGACAAGCGTTGTCCATTGTGCTGAATAGGGTAATTCTATAATAACAACTTTAGTTGCACCGAAATTTTCTAATATATGTAGGTATCATCCACAATAACATATTGAAGTTTTTAAGACAAACTTTAAAGTAATATTGTTCGTTATAAAATAAAGTATTTGTTATTTTTTGTTTTAATTTTATTGTTTTAATGTTTTATTTCCGCTCAGTAAGATATTTATTTAATGTACCTATAAATATCATTTTTTTCATATAGGTATACATTATTCGTGATATCGTCGAATACGTGATGCTCGAAACCTGTAATAAATATTTATGAAAGCTGAACATAAAAACCTAATCTCACAAGATATAAAGAAAGTTGTAAATGTGTTTTTTCTCAAACTAGTTGTAAAAATATATCTCATCAAAAAATATTTATGAATTATTTTATTTTATATCACCGTCTATTATAAAAAACGTTAATTTTTACCAATTAATTTTTGGTTCGTTTTGTCAAATCTTCATTATTTCAAATATATAATTCTAGAAATGCTTTCAATAATTATATGCATGTGTTTATTTTCTACGTTACAAATAAAATATATTCCAAATATCACTTGTGAATTTGCAAATAAAGTTTTCATAAATAGATTACTACGCTACAACACTCAGAGCGCTCCAGCGATAAATCTCAAGTTTTCTGTATGTTAACTCGTATGTTATACCTATATGTATATGATTTACGTATGTAAATTTTTGATCTTGAGAGTTGGGATCAATCTTAAAGCTTGGAGCTTTGAGTAGCGCGTGAGGCAATTTAGAGACTGGTGGCGATTTTTAAGAAATGCTGAATTTATGTCCATCATATATCACCTTGTTATATTATAGACTGAAATGCTATGTACATGCATATATACCTACTCGTATTAATATCAATTTTGTATGAATTAGAAAAAAATATAGCGTTACCACTTTAAGGCTTTTTTAGTCCTTGTTTTGATGATAAGTTATGAAATATACAATATGTCTATCTATGTATCTGTCTGTCAATAAAAGTTACTAACAAGTCATGCATTAATTGAAAATAGAAATTAATTAACCTAATATTTTAAATAAAACTATCTTTTCGGATTTTTTCGCGAATTACAATACACAATTAATTGTGGGTAGGCTGTCTGTAACAACTATACCTTCAAGACATGTAACACCTCAGTCTCTCCCGTGACCATGGATGCTGTAAAGCATTCGAAACGTCGGGAACCAAAAATCTAAATAAATTCGCGAAAAAATCCGAAAAGATAGTTTTATTTAAAATGTCAAGTATTCGCGTAAATCTAAGAAAGTATTAAGCTAATATTGTAAAACTTCGAAAAAACAAATAGCTTTTTTCGAAACGGGAAACAGCCTAAGTGTAGTAGTTGAATTAGAAATCATCAGTAGGAGAATTAAAATGCTTTTCCCATTCCAATTCCCAATTTTACATTATAAATTATAATATAAAATATCTACAACTCAGAAATCTACTCTCACTGACGCTTTTGAAATTTCCTTCTTTGGAATATTATCGTCTACATTATTCAACGACAAAGGCAACAAATAAAATCACAACAGTATATGTATATAGAATTATTTTAATAATAGTCTGTCACATTTTTATTTTAATAATAATATTATACTTTGCGTGAGACCATATAAGAATTTATTTCCAATATCTTGTATTTCATTATATTTATTTTGTATTTTCCTTAATATTTCAGTGGAAATACGAGTATTACACCTTAATTAAAAGAGTAATTTACTATTTTCAGTATTATATTTGTGATATTTTGTTAGAAAACGGATCATTAAGTTTTGATATAATTTGGCAGTAGAGAAATAAACTTAAACAATGTACTATCTCTAAAATGGTCGAATATTTTAATACTATTTTATAAACTAAATAGTTACAATTTATACAAAATAAATTATTATTTTGGGCTAAAATTTCAATATTTAAAATTACAATTTGATTAAATTTTTTAGTTTACAAATATAGTTCATTATTAATATTTTATTACAAGGTCATCGTCGTCAATAAACACTAGATTTTAATTGTGTTAAAAGCCTAAGCACACTTCAATAGCTGATATATGTATTATATGAACATAATGACATATTCGTAAACAGAATAGAGATTCTTGAGCCCAAATCTTCTATCACAGTAAGAATCTCTTTAATAACAACTAAATAATTGCCGTTTCATACAAACATTCATGCTTTCATTGTAAATATTTATTATTAACACTTTACACGAATTCACATTTTCTACATTTACGCTATCATCTAAACATGTATGTATGTTCTATATCTACAAATATTTAATTATTTCTCTATATAAATTCAAAGTTACATTTGGCGTATAATATACATACAAATATTTATATAGTATTACATAAATTCTTTGAAAACTCCGCCACTGTATCCATGTCATAATTATTAATCACGCATTTATGTATACCTCTTCCTTGTTATAAACCGGATAGTCTTTAGGAGGTAACTTAAAGCTATCCCTTAAATATGAAAAGCGATGGAAATTATAGAAATATTCGGTTCCATCAGGGGAATACTGAGGGTAGAGGGTGTAAGCCGGGAATTCTATGTCGGTAAGGGACTCCGCAAGCGCATGTCTCGCGAAATCCTCCTTATATCGTCATGATTGTTCCCTGTAAGCTTGCTTCTTGGTACATTTCTCCTTTAAAATATAGCAGAGAGCAATAGCTATGAGCACAGCAATAGCAATCGCCATGCTTATGCTTATCCATATAATCTCTTCGTTGATGCCACTTGTAGATTTGCCTAGAGAAAGGAAATTTTATTAAGTTATATAAGATATACCTACACATTCTTATATAATTCATATAGTTAATATCGCGCACACTATGTCCGTGTAATGAAAGGCAGTTTATTTAATCCTGTCACTCAAATTGTATGAATACACGACCCAAGCTATAGAAAGCTATATTAGGGTTATGAAGAATCATTCCAGAAAAGTTATTCAACCTGTTATTTACCGAGCATGATTTTGTAGAAAGCAGATTTGGACGACCCTTTTACTCTGATATCGGTTTTTGCTTCCTTTGTTATCTTTCTCATATTGTTATATTTACGTATCGCTATATACTCATAAAGTATGATTTAAAGTGATTTTACTATATTGTACTGTCCTTGGAATATAATATGTAATAATATAAGCTGAATAAGTAAATTAATTATATTCTAACCGCTCATTTTGTTTGAATAGCCGCCCATCTTGCCGGCGACTCTCGCGGAGGCGCTGCTGACCGCCGCCAGCATAACTGCCGAGGTACGGATAGGGCATATTCGACCTATAAATTGATGAAGTTAATTAAAAGAAAAGATACATTTGTTACATATTTATAAAGAAAATATAATAATTTTATCTGTACTAATATTATAGAGGTAAAGTTTGTGACGTTGTAGAGGGTAATCTCTGGATATACTGAATCGATTTAGATGAAATTTGGCAAGAAGATAGTTTGACACCCTGGGAAGGACATAAAATACTTTTTTTCCCTTAAACAAAAGATTTCAACAAAACCGAGCGAAGCGAGGGTGAGTTGTTAGTCTATACATATATGTAATAAAGTTGTAACCGAACTGAATCTGTATGTTAAATATGTTTTGAAAAATCATTCATATTATAGATACAGAGGCCAAATCTACACAGACCTAATCTAAATCAGAGGCTTAATCTGTCTATTTACGGTAATAGATACACGGGAAACCCAAAATTTGCTTTAGAGTAAAACGTATCCGATTAGTAGTTTTTCCGATACCTATGGGATATTTTCCGTCATCCGCTTTGTCATTTTAGCGACTGCAAATTTAACTTTTTTTCCATAGTTTCGATAATAAATATCATGAAAATAATATACGAATTTATATTTGCGGTTGAGAAAACCAGCAATGTGATTACAATAGTATTTTATTTTAGCGTTAATCTAAAAAAATACGTAAGTATAAATACAACACAACATTTTATGAAACTGTCAATGCGCGAGTCACACTCGCACTTGCCCGAGTTTTTGGTATATATACGAGTATAATACTAGCGACTCATTCGCGCTCTGGTCGAGTTCGTTCTTCGTTACGTTTTAACGTTTAGTATAGATTTCTCAGAGATGAGATATATTCCTGCAGTAAAAAGTATCCTATATGTTGACCCGGATAATCAGCCACCATCATACCAAATTTTATCAAAATCTGTCCAGTGGTTTTCTCGTGATGCTTTCCCAGACAGACAGACAGACAGGCAAAAATTCTAAAAACTATATGATTCGGCCTCTGTATCGATAACAATGACTATTTCAATAAGATTTTCCACAAAATATATAATGTACAGATTCGGCTCAGAATTTTATTATATGTATAGATGTAAAGAATAAAGATCAAAACAAAAATTTACAATTATTTTCTAAAAATAGTTACACCAAAGAATATTACTTGTTTATACTGATATATAATAGAGCTAAAAACAAAGAGTTTCTTTTTTGGTTCTTAAATCTTAGCTTAAGCTCGGAGAAGAGTTAAAGACTATTTTACATTTACAACTCGCTACAACCCTCAGGATCGGAGAAATTATGCATAAATTATATGATAAGATACGCGGACCGAGTCAGGGTAACGCTATATTTCATTTAATTTCACATTATTCATCGCGTTTTCAAATTTTTCGCTTTCGTCTGACACTGTCTAAAAAGTTTGGTACCCAATGATGTAGGTATATGTATACGAGTATTATAGGAAGGACACTTTTTTACAAAAATTTCATTGGACTAAAATCGACAGTCGATAAATGCTACATTGCATTGAAAGGTTGTCGTGATACAATGTTTATTAGGTTAGGTTATGTCGAAACACATATTTTTCTTTATCATTGTTCAACTTTATTATTAAAGCTATTTTTAAAATTATTATTATTCCTTTATTATAATGTTTATACTATTATACCCTTGACAGAAATTCATTAATTTGAATTATAAAAAATATTATTCTCCTCGAAATTGAAGAGATATTTGCTAACTAGATGCTTAAGAATGAAAACAACTTGTTTACGTGAAGTAAAGCGGTTCTCTCGAAATCTTACTCGTTATTTTTAATTTAAAAAAACAGATGATACAGCAGAAGCTTAAGAAGTGTTATGATTAAAGAACACAATTATCTTTAAACGTTTTATTATTTTAAGAATAATTACGCACGTCGAAACAAAGTATACTTTAGAAATATATTAAATTATGTATATTACTGTACTTTATTTACTCTATAATGTCGTAATATTTCCATAATTGTTTTAAATTGGATTAATTTTGTTAAAGTGTAATTTATTAAAAGCGTAACATGTACAGTACAAACTTTTTAATTTTACATGATGACTGAAATTGTGAGTAGGTAGTTGAAAAAAAAAAGTTTATGTGAGAGTCTTCTTTTTAAAGTACTGTTTAATGCTCTTTCTTTTTCTTATCTTCCTGAACCAAATAATTTTATGAGTCATTAAAGTCTGCTAATAATCTTGCACTGCGGTCTGCGGTCACTAGTTTGTTGTACTTGCAATAGATAATTTAGCTCAATGGCGAAGCTACGAGGCGTGTCTTATGGATACCAGATAGTTGATATACTACACATGTGTAACTTTAAATACATATTACAAATATAAATCCTATGACTGGAGTACAAACATTCGTGCTCATCACACAAATGAATTCCCCCAGCGGGATTCGAACTCGCGACGACTGGCACAGCAAGTAGGCTCACAACAAACTGAGCCAAACGTGTCGTCTAAAAGCTCTTTGCTAAAAGCTGTGAAACTAATAAGTTCATACAGCGTGTAATAAATTCTAAAATGGTAGGTATAACCTTTAATCTATACATAGGTATAATAAAATTGTAACTAAGCCGAATTTGTACATTAAATATTTTTTTGAAAATCTTATTGAAATAGACATTATTATCGATACAGAGGCTGAATCTATAGTTTTTAGAATTTTTGTCTGTCTGTCTGTCTGTCTGTTACCGCATCTCAAAAAAAAGCCACTGGAGGGTATTCATGAAATTTGGTATGGTGATGGATGGTTATCCGGGTCAATATATAGAATACTTTTTACCGCGGGAAAATATCTCATTTCTGAGAAAAAATACAAAAACTACTATACTAATATGTAAAACCTAAAAAGTTGGTTTTTGGTCATCTGAATGCGGGCGGAGCCGCGGGCAATGCTAGTGGTAAATATAGCTAGTACATTCTTGTATATTTTATTTTTAATCATAATCGAATTTGAAGGATACATATCATACGTTAAAATATGATTAATTAATATACGTGAGGTACATATTATGTGTTCTGTATATTTATTTGGCTGAAGTATTTTTATTGCATAATATATATTGAACCGACAAAAATAGATTCGCACCATTCCAGAGCACGAATAAAAACTTATAAAATTGCTTTAGAGGGACCCAAATATATTAAGAGATTGGCGGTCGCACTTAGAAAAGGAGGAAGATCGGAGTCGCGGAAACTTTGGATACCTTAGTTCTTTTTATATTATCAAATTTAAAAAAAGATTTTATTTTTATGTTATTATATTTATACGGCCCAGTGATAACGCACTCGCTTGGGAAACCAAGTGAAGCGGGTTCAAACCCCGGGTCTCGCAACTCTGATATTTTCATGTGCGAATCATTTCCAACATGATTACTACTTGCCTTACGGTGAAGGAAAACATCGTGAGGAAACCTGTATGTCTGAGGAAACCAGGCAAGTTTCAAAAGACACGTGAAGTCCGCCAACCCGCACTTGGTCAGCGTGGTGGACTATGGCCTGATCCCCCTCGTATTGAAGGGAGGCCCGTGCCCAGCAGTAGGAGTTAAAAAGGGCTGAATACATATTTATACAGATATTTTTTTTTTTTTAAATGCGTACGTAACACAAATTTTATTATTATTAATCATATATAGTTTATGTGGTCCCAATAACTTTTATTATTATGGACAATGTGCAATAACATATAATAAAATTCTAACTGAGTCGAATCTGTACATTAAATATTTTTTGGAAAATCTTATTGAAATAGTCATTATTATCGATACAGAGGCCGAATATAAAGTTTTTAGAACTTTTGTATGTTTGTCTGTCTGGGAACGCATCACGAGAAAACCAGATTTTGATGAAATTTGGTATGAAGATCCGAGCTGGTTATCCGGGTCAACATACTTATAGGATACTTTTTACTGCGAGAAAATATCTCATCTCTGAAAAATCTATAATAACCGTTAAAGCGTACCTAGGAAAGAAAATAAGGAGGTTAGTCGCTAGTATTCTATAATGTGCGTCATAACTAAAACTAATACATTTCTACGATCAGATATTTCATTTTTTTCATGTTAACTAAATTTTTTATTTATATTACAAATACTTATTCACGCATTTTCTTGGCATAACTTATATAGCTAATGCATTAAAAAGTTATTTGTTCCAAACGGCGTACCTAAGCGTCGGAGTTTTTCAGCTTTGTATCAGCGGGTAATTAGCTATCATAATTGCTCATTGTATCAATTATTGTGCATTTTTACATTTATAACCTCATTCTTTTATTTGTGAAAATTGGTAAATACTACTAGTTGACGTCTTGTCCAATATTAGAGTAGAGAATGAGAAAGTATCTTACCGCGAATTCAAATTACATAAGCATTCTAGAACAGCTGGTATCAAATAATTAAGTTGGTAGACTGAGTCTGGGTTAAATTGAGGTAGTGAAATGCCATCAGATAAATAAAATTTTAAAAAGTGCCCGTAAAAATATTGTTCATTTTAAACGAGGTTTTACATTGATTTAGTATTATCTATTACCTATTACGATGATCATCTTCATTCTGGTGCAGTAAATTTCTTATTAAATTATAAATGTTTTGCTTCACCCAGACAGCATTATTGTAAGATACCTGTAAAGAAGCAGACAATCATATTATAAATACTAACATATGTATAAGCGTATTTTTGTTGTCTTGTAATGAAATCTTATAAGAATAATGTTTAATATCAAAAATCCGAAGCGTAGCACCAGTCAGTCTTTTCGTTAGGATCTTTTTGTATTTTGAATCCAGAAAGTCTTGTACACAGTGCAGTATTTCATTAATAAATGTACAGTTCGACGTTACATTTACGCTGTTTTACAAAACAGCTGATTCTTCGATTTTCTTTGCATGCAAAAGTTCAGAACACGTTATGGCTTGTCTTTTTAACCACAACGCGTTATAGTCAAAAATGGCGAGAGCAACGACCAAAATTTCATTCTGTGACCTTTTTAAGTTAGACAGAACGTGTTGGTGTAGAACTTATTTCTCGTTTTTAAGTCAATAGTTTAACTTATTTTATTATTAAATATAGAATTAATAAAAATATACCATGTAAACGTCTCGCAACGCAGTTCTTCTACCTCAAAAAATTGTGAGAATGTAAAACCAAGTCGGTTAATTTATCCAGTACTAGCGGCTCACCCTCGCTTCGCTCGGGTTCGTCGCTAGGTACGTTTTAAATAGATATAAAAAGAAAAAATCTTTCTTTCTCACATTTTAATTATATGTTTTAATACTTACCTATTCCGGACTAAGAGAAATCCAAAAATTAAAATATCATAAAAATTGGAACGCGGTCGAACGGGATAAAAAGTATCCTATGTCCTTCTCCTGGCTCTAAACTACCTCCCTGCCAATTTTCAGCTAAATCGGTTCAGCCGTTCTTGAGTTATAAGCGAAGTAACTAACACGACTTTCTTTTATATATATAGATGATACCGTGTATCCAACAACTTTGTCATAAATGTTAATCAGTTAAAAAACAACATTTTATAGCGAACGTATCAATATTAGATATCTCATTTCTTTTTGTAAATAGTTTTTCTTTTTCTTATTTTCTGGTAGTATTTATTGTGCGTATACCTAATTCAATTTAGACTGCTATAAGATCACCAAGATCTCAATCTCATCGCTTGGCTTCGTGACACTGCGTTGACTTATATCTAAGTATAATATAGGTATATTATTAAAGGAGACATCGTCTGTGTCTTACTGTACTTTATATATGTATACTATTTACCTACCTATCCATTTGGGTAGTTTAAATGACGAAAAATTATATGAACTGCAAAAATATCTTTGTAATCGCATATATCACATATATCGCAAAATTTGAAGCTCTTGTGTCTGCTAGAAGTACCTTAGAATTTTGACGATCAGTGAGTGAGTCAGTGACAAAATTAAAGAACTTTGACCTGCAATAGTTCTTAAGCTACGGGTTCAAATTAATTATATTCTAATGTATCTAGTTATATTATGTCCTCTTAGTCATTGAAAATTTAGGCTTTTAGCTTTATCCACAACGAAGTTACAAGGAGGATCAAAAATGCTTTGAATGCCTTGAAGAAAAGGATGGTATGGTACGGCTCTACCTTTATTTGTTCGACTTGGCGGGGGTACCGCCGTGCTCACAGATTTGGCTATATTATAAAATACAATAGTTTGACTGTTTATTGACAACGCCGTATATCGTCTATTTAAGCAAGCAAATTAAGTAGTATGTGGGGTAGTAAATACAATGGGGTATGTGATATTTATATAGGTATGTTATTTTAAGTTAGCTCTAAACTTTGGAAAAAGTTATATAATTTTGAAACCTTTAAAATAATTTACTATTACTCACTTTGTTTATATATCCAACGGGAAAATAGGCAAATCAACTACACGCGTATAAAGCTGCATTCACCAGCAGAAGCTACATAATGTATATAAAAATGTAATGTGTATATCTATACTAATATTATAAAGAGGTAAAGTTTGTGAGATTGTGAGTTTGTGACGTTGTAAGGGGTAATCTCTGGATCTACTGAACCGATTTAGATGAAATTTAGTAAGAAGATAGTTTGACACCCAGGGAAGGACACAGGATACTTTTCATCTCGGAAATTATCGCTCAAGGGGGGGAAAATGGGGATAAAAGTTTGTATAGGGAATCAAGCTAGAGACGAACCCGAGCGAAGTGAGTGTGAATCGCTGGTTATTTATGTAAATGTATTATATTTCTTCGTATTCTATGCCCACATAAATCATTCATTCGAATACGATTAATATTTTGTGAATCGGAAAACTTTGTGACGTGGCTTCGTCAGGGTAAGTTAATTAACGTGCGAGTTTTTGGAGTAATTTAAGATGTACTAAGCTGAAAACAAGAGTTGGGGGTGTTTAATCTATATGTATGCCACTTTACATCGTGTGAGTGCGATTATGTGATAGGTCGTCAGTCGTCACAATATAATCGCACTCATACGACTAAGTACTCAGTAGTGAAGTTATTAAAAAAAATGTATTAATGGAATGACATATATTATTCCATAAATACAGTTTTTTTAATAAATTAACTTTAAAACTTAACTTTCATAATTAATAAATCTGGACCTGTGAGGCACCGCTGTTGTTGAAAATTTAACATTTATATTCTAAAATCGGGTAAAACATTGTCTGCGGGGCCATTTAGTATTAAAATGGTTCAAACTTAAGTAACTCTTACGTATTTTTAGGAGTCCGCAGCTACCGAGTTAACAGGTAGGTGTATTATATATATAGCTAAATTACTTTCGTAGTTAAAATACAAAAAAATAAAAAATCGAGTTGGCCCTCCATACATGTAAAGAGTGAATTTTTCAAGACAATAGTTAGAGAGTTATATGCTTCTAATAAGGTCGTAAAAATTTCGTTCCCCCTATATCTAAATTTAGATGTATGGGGTAGAAAATTAAAAAAAAAAGATAATACAACTTTCAACATAATTTCAACAAAAAAAAAAATACTATGAAGAATATACATTGATTAGTTTTCACGAATTTGCCTCAAAATTAACTTGGTTCCTCAGTGGGATACAATGAAATACAAAATTATTTATGCCCTCAATAAAATGCGATGTTCATTTTTTTAATTCATATTCATTTCAAATGGATAATTATTTTATTCTCTTTATACCTATATAGTAACAAATTAATATATAAAACAAAAGGAATGAAATGTTTTAAGCAACGGAACCCTGATTGTGCGTAGACTGATTCGCACTTGTCCGAATTTTTTACTCTTAACCGTTAAAAGCTTACTAAAGGACCCATAAGTATCAAGTCATTTGTTATATAAACTCCAAGTAGAGTTCAAATATTGAACGGAAAAATATCAGCAAGAAACAAATTATGTTATACGAGCGTTTTGCCGCCGCTCTGACAGCATAGTTTTATAATGTATTGCTATATTCTTATAAATTATAGCCTATGTACTACTCTGTTTCATCAATATCCGTTTAGTAGTATTTGCGTAAAAGTGTAACAAATATACATCCATACATCGATCCTTTATCCTTACACACTTTCTCCTTTATAATGTTAGTAGGATAGGAAAAGTAGAATACGATATTATAGATATAATGTCAGAACAAACTACATTTTTAAAAATATATAAAAAAATTGTAATAATATATACTCAACTAGATATTGATTGATTAAATAAATCATAATTTATAATCAATTTTATGAATTAAATATTTAGATTTCGTACTATTTTAGGTAGATAACATATAAAAGGTAATAAATAAATGTGGAAATTTAAAATATTTGCACACTAAATATTATTTTATATAACGTATACGTATTCCATTCTTAACTTAATTTTAAATTTAGATTTTATTCGAGTTTACAGTGCAATAAAAGTTCATGGCAACTGTGGTGCAAATTTCTTAATTGTATTTGCCCGAATGTCCCGGAAAGCTTATTCCTTTTTCATCTTTTTAAAAGAAATCATGAATCTAATTATATTAAAAAATCCGACTGCATATTAAAAGCTAACTAAAAAGATGAAAACAAGTTAACGAAGTAATATAAGTACATACCTATTATACAGTAGAAGACATACACGTTTCAACCTTGCCTTCAGATGTACATAATATTATGTATGTCTCCGACTGCATAGTATGTACTATATCTCTTTATCTTGTTTTATTTTTTTAAAGTTATACTTCTTTTGGAACGTTTGGAAAAAATTATGAGAGTAAAATTTTTACGATGCGCGCGCACACCGACACCCAAAAAGCGACATGATGAAGTTTGCTGATAACTGTTTGTTGCCATGGTAATTGTTTTTATTGTCTGACAAGTCTAATATATAAAATTCTCGTGTCACAGTGTTTGTAACAAAACTCCTCCGGAACGGCTTGACCGATTCTTATGTAATTTTGTATGTGTATTAAATGATATTCTATAAATATATGATTGTATTATGCCTTATATGCCTTATTTTATTATTTTATTAATTTGTCATTCCTTTTACAAACAGTAAGTTGTGACATACGTTTTTTTATTTACAGCTTTTTAGTTTTTGCCAATTAGATGTTTGAAGTTATGTGTAGCAATTTTTTATCCTAAATTACTTGTAAACGTATGTATAATTTGCGTATGATTCTGTGATCGGTTCTAAAAAACCTTTATTTTGATACCCCACTCGATTAGTTTGGAATTTTTTTTGTAAAGACACACAAATTGGCGCCTGAAATCCGCCATTTTAATTTTTATCTATTTTTATATAGCCTATGATACTCTGGAATCAATTACGAATCTAACGAAGTCTGAATCATCAAAATCGGCCCACGCGTCTCTAAGGTGCCACAAAGGAATAAACATATGTAGAATATACATAGGCTGATAAACACATGACCCTTCTTTGCGTCGCGCAATCGGGTAAAAAGGCTATTGCTAATAACATATATTTAAGTCTTTTTTTTATCATTGACAGATTTTTTATGTTAGAAAAAATAATATGAATAAGAACGTATTAACATAAATGGTGT